AGCAGCAGGAGCAGCTGACAGTGGTACAGCAGCAGCAGCTGACAGTGCAGCAGCAGCTGACGGTGATACAGCAGCAGCAGCAGCTGTACCACCAATAGTAGCGATGGTTGATTGGGGTTTATTATACAACCTGGCCAGCTCGGAGACACGCACTCCACTTTCATACTTATCAATGATCTTTTTCTTCATCTCCATAGTAATTCTCACCCTTATTGCTGTAGGGTTGGCACTAGAAGCTTTCTTGGGGCCCATGGTCACTTATTTTCCAGAAAAAAATCACCAAAAACACTGTAATAATACAAAATGTTCCGATTGTATGCTTGGATGTTACCGCGGAGGCTGGCTGGTAAACAATGCCACCCGCGGAACATGTGAGCGTGGCTCAGGCCGCACATTGGACGCGTCTCGGACGAAGGCCGCTGAGCGGGTTTTTGGGCGCTATGCGGGGCAAAATTTTAGCGATCAAAGCGTCCGCTATGCGGATTGTCCACTATGCAAGGCGTCCGTTATGCGGGGGTCCACTGTATTATGCTAATATCAACACTACAGCTTATTTGCCTATCACAATTGATCTAATATGACATAAGAAACAGTATAAATAACATAAAACATGTTAAATACTCCAGAATGAATAATATTTGGCATAACACTGAGCAGTTCGACAGAGTTATGAAGAGGATATGGTAAACAAATACCATTCTCCTATCCTTGTCTTGGGGCTTATATTAGAGAAAATGGAGTATAGCACAGGGCTAACTATGATATACACTCATACTCCACCATAAACATGAAACAAAAAAGTTATTTTCTCTCTATAGATTATCACACATAGCAGCATATGTGTAGAGAACCTAGGATAACCCCAAAAAAGTCAACGTGGCTTATTTTTAGTACCTGGCTTGGGTTAGCCATATATGATTTGTGGTAAATATTGGATTCCCAGCCAGGGTAGAAACATTAGGCGTGTTTCTTTACACCTATTGTCTATGTTTACCCATCAGTAAATGGGTACCTGGGTGTTAGTCGACTAGTGTGGGTGTTATCCTGGGACACTGACCTAATTTTCTTGAAATACTCAGCATAACAGGTGCCTTTCTATACAGTAGTATGTCACTGATGTCAGCTAGGCCTGTATACCTTGTACATGTACATGTAGTAAATAAAGATATTATTATTATTATTATTATTATTATTATTATTATTATATTATTATTTTCTCAGTTGTTTGTTGGGTTATCTTATTCAAACTTGGTCAGTGTATGATGGAAAGATACTTCTTCACGTACACCAAAAATGAAAGAAATCAAACCATAAATAGCGGAGTTCACTTCTCAGCCATTAGCGGTCGCTTAGCGGTATATTTTTGTATGGTTGTTATGGTTATATTCACATTTTTTCGGTCTCATTTGATAGAATGAAAGATATATTACAGAAATAGATATGATTTTGATTGCTTTCATGATGAAAAGTACCTTGAAATTGCGCTCACAGTAGCGAAAATGTTCTAATCTTTAGCGAAGCTCAAGAGTAAACAAATGACGTCACCGTCCAGTACCTGTCCGCCTGCCAGTCCAAATTCCAGTACGGAGTCAAGAATGGATTGACATTATTTACACAATTATTAAAATAATGCAGTAGTCTGCATAACAGTAAATCTTCTATTTTTTTGTGAATAAAAATTTCAAATGGTAAGCAAGAGTAATATAAGAGGGGCCTATAGCCGTGACTAATGAACAGAGAAAATGTTATTTTAGTGCCAGGAATGTCTGCATTGTTTATTCTGGACCCTATTTTGAAATTGGCATCTGTTGAAATTTGTGTGAAATCAGCCAAATTGCCAATTTCTGACCACTTTATTGGGTAGTTGAAATAAGTGAATGGGCGGTTTCTTGTACTCAGTTGACAGACTAGAAGTAAATAAGTTTATTCAGGTATATACAAATATAGTTACATAGATTATCATACATAGCAGTGTATGTATAGAGAACCTAGGATAACCCAGAAAAGTCAGACAAATGACTTATTTCCAGTACCTGGCTTGGGCTTGCCATATATGATTTTTGGTAAATATTTTTTTTCTTGGTTGTTTGTTGGGCTATCTCATTGAAACTTGAGCAATGTATGATGGAAAGATGCTTCTTAACGTACAACAAAAATAAAAAAGACAGACGATAAATAAGGGAGTTCACTTCTCAGCCATTAGCCGCCTCTTTGCAGTATATTTTCGTATGGTTTTTTGGTTGTATTCTCATTTTTTGGACTCATTTGATAGAATGGAAGATATATTACAGAAATAGACATGATTTTGATTGCTTTCATAACGAAAAGTACTTTGAAATTGAGCTCAAAGTAGCTGAAATGTTCGATTTTTGCCGATGTTCAATGAACTGTGTAAGTCAAGTTGGTTAATTTTTTTAAGTGTATTCTAACCTAACCACTCTGTAATTCGGCAAACTCAGTAATCCAGCACACTACAGGTCCCAATGATGCCAGATTTGTGATGGAGGATCTGTAATAGTACTGGTAGATGTATTTCTTCAGTTGGCTCATGAAACCTTATCACAGAGTACAGCATTATGAAGTATGATAAACTATGTGTGTGGAAGTTCCACGAACACTGTTGCTTGAGTCTTGCATAGCTAATAATTCACAGCAGATAAACACATGACATACTGGGCCCAAAAAATAATAATGAGTTGTCTAGAGTGTATTAGTAGTTCTACCAATATATTGCTATTCCTTTAAGTGGCTTATGGAACCCTTCACTGAAAGTAGTTTTCCATACTTCAAAATGTTTTAATGTACAGTTCTCTGTTGTCTAGTCTTGCTTCAACTTTAGGAGCTGAAATTGTAATGGATTATAATGGTAAGCAGATGACAGACTCGCTCTAGAGGGTAGCAACAGCACTCATGGTATTGTACAATACTTACTGAATTTAAAAGAAATATTAGGAGATACTCTTTAATTCCATGTAAAGTTTTAGTAAACTATTACAGTAGGGCCCCACTTATGTGGCAAGTTGGATTCCAGGCTGCCACCTTAACCTCTTAACTGTCCAAATGTAGATCTATGTTCTTACTGCTAGCGCTCCAAACATAGATCAACGTTTTATTTTTCCTGCCTTCAGATTTGGCATGATAGGCCTGAGTGGCCTAGACATGAGAGAATGGGTCTGTGCACTCAATGTGCACAGTGTGAAAAAAATTGGGGACCCCTCAATACTGCAAGGTAGCACCAGTTAGTTTCACCACCAGCTTGGGTCAACACCATGGCAAATCCTGTGATTCACTCATGCCTCGTCATATTAACATTCTTATTCTTGGAAAGTGATATAGACCCCGAGTTTAGTGGATTTGACACTGATGTGGCCACTAATGATCAAGGAATTAGTGAAAATATTGACAGTAACCCAGATGACCCTCAGCCCACCACCTCTGGGGTGGCCAATGTGGCCACACCAGACCCTCAGCCAAGCACCTTTAGGGTGGCCAGTGTAGCCATACCAGACCCTTGGCCAAGCACCTCTGGGGTGGCCAGTGTTACTAGTCAGAGGCAACTACGCAAGTGGAAATTATCATTTTCCCGCAGTTTTGGTGATGATGGTAGTGAAAGTGATATAAGTGATGATGAGATTGATTTTATGCCCTTAGACGATTCTTCAAGTGATAGTGATGTACATTATTCCCCAATGAAGTGTACCTTTAGGTGGCATCACCTATGTTCAGGCAGAGTGCCATATGCAGTCCCCAAGGGTCATGGGAGGTCACTGATAGTGATACCAATCATGAAGGAGAAAATGTGGGGATGGAGGAAGAGGAGGAGGTGGTGGTGGGTGGCATGGTGCCTGGGCCACATGGCAAGGTGGTCGGGCAGACAAAGGACAGCTTGGCATCCCCTCAACTATGTGCTGCCTCCACTCCTGTCTCTCATCATGCTTCCCCATGTTCCATGCCACAGGTCCACCCTGCACCATCTGACCATGAAAGGAACTGGACAGAAAGTACATTCGTGCCACATCCATTTGATTTTGATGGCAGTAGAAGTGGCATCTTGCCAGAGTCTCCTATCACAAATGAGTCTACAGAGTTAAATTTTTTCCAATCATACTTTGACGAGCCTATAATGAACTTGAATGTCACCCAGACAAACAATTACTACTGCTGTATAATGGACAACACAGAGGTTGCAGAATTGCCACAGCTGCGCAGGTGGAAAGATACAACTGTAGCCGATATGTATTTATTCCTTGGCACTGTCATGCTTATGCCTCATATATATAAGCACAATATAGCACAGTACTGGTCACAGCTACTAGACCGAATCTTCACTAACTGTCATTACCTGATACCAATACTGTCTTCCCCAAAATGAAGTATTCTCAGAATGTGTTGTGTGTGCTAACACCATAAATTGACCTCAACAACGGAAGGACACATGATTCATGTGTCAGCAATGTGGGGTGGCACTCTGGAGACATGGATTTTAGGACTTAATGTGCTGCCGGAGTTTGAGCAAGGGATTCAGGGAAACCTGCAGGCCAGACTTGAGTCCTGGAGATGGGAAGTACATTGTCTGCACCCTGAAGGAGGAGTGTTAATGTTACAGTTTTATAACTGTAGTGTGAGCATGCCTTTGGCAAGACAGTCATGGGGTGAATGTTGAAAGTTTTTTTATTTCAGGCCACCCCGCCTTGGTGGCAAACAGCCTGTGTTAATAAAAAATAAAATAATATAACAATTTATGTTATTAAATTTGTAAACCTTATTTTATCAACACCTGTACTGTTCAAAATCGTACTATGCAAGGTATTGCTGTATTCGAATCATTGAGCACTAATCAAATGTAAAATACAAATACAATTTGATAGAAATACATAATCAAAAGAAAGGCACCTATTGTACAGAACATTTTGGATGAATTAAATTAAATTTACACACCATTGTGCTTAGTGATCCCACATGGAGTTTTGCTAGAGGGTTAATAGTGTAATATTCTACAGGAAACGGTCGTATTGGTGGGCGTGTGAAGACGATAGAGACAGCACCACAGTGTGTTGTTGAGTTAGGTGCTCAGTGGATCCATGGAGAAGATGGTAATGCTGTGTATCAGTTTGCTAGCCCCAGGAACCTCATCCATCATAAGTTGTCTGTAGATGGTAGAGGTGAGTACTGATGTTCAGTGTACTGTGTACATGGTAGAGGTGAGCACTAATATTTAGTGTACTGTGTAAACAGAGGTGAGTACAAATGTTCAGTGTACTGTGTAGATGGTAGAGGTGTGTACTAATATTTAGTGTACTGTGTAGACAGTAGAGGCGAGTACAAATGTTCAGTGCACTGTGTAGACAGTAGAGGTGAGTACTAATGTTTCCTGCAGTTAAAGTTTGTTGAGTTCCATTTTAAATAAGCTCTTATACAACCTTCTATCACTTTATCTGTTATTATTTTGTAGATTCTTTTCTATAACGAACATCTGAAATTTTATTAAATTTTTTAGAATTGGTCATTATGTTCAATAATAGCCCACATGGAGACAGAAACTCAGAAGATTAATTAATCTATGTACATTTTGATTCCCTTCTGGAGTCCTGAAGGGGATCCCATAAGTGGGGGTCGAAATATACAGATCAATTAACCCTGAAATGGTTCAAACGTATATAAATGTTCTTACCGCAAGCATCCCAAATGTATATGTTTTAATTTTCCTGCCTCCAAATTTGGTCCGATTGGCCTGAGATGCCTGGTCAGCATAGAATGGGTCTTAACCCTTTCAGGGTCCAAGGCCAAAATCAGAAGGGGTGCCCCAGTGTCCAAGAAATTTTGAAAAAAAAAAAAAAAAAAAATTTTCTTACAGAATTAAAGAGTATATTTTTGTGAAGGTAATAAAGCAAAAAAAAATTCTGGTCAGTACTTACCGAGATACAGTGGCGAGAATTTGACCCAAAATGACCAGGTGGCGGCAACATCAAAGACTTCCACAAACGCGCATTTCTTTATTTTACATTTTTTTATAGTCTTTTCTTTTCTTTTCTAATTTTTTTCTTTTCCTACTAACATTTGGGGCCTGAGAGACCAATACTGTATATAATGTATATATATAAACTCATTGTATTGAACACAATAACCGCACTAAGGTTATTATCATAATATTGTTTACCACTTTTGTTTATTACAATATATGCACAAATCTTGTATAATACTTATGTTCCATCATATATTTACATATGTACAATCACTGGACATGTTTTTAGAACTGCTACAGCTTGTGGAACTCCTTGAAACAAGGCACCATGCGCAGAGATACTTTACATTCCTCGCACAGAAACCAAGTGTCTTTGCGTCTTTGTTGCCGTCGTTTTGTTTGTGCACAGACAACACATCTCTTCTTAGCAAATTTCCTCTTAGTTGCAGGAAGCTGTATTATGAAGTGATCACCTTCCCTCCTCAAACGCTTGAGTATATCCTGAGGAGTTCGAGGACAGTTTTGTATAGCAGGTGTTGTTACCTGGTATTTCATTATGAGTTGTCTGACAACAGACAAACAAAATTCACCATACGGTGGTCTGTTGCCAGTCTTCACTTGGTACATATTATATGCATTGAGCATTGAAATGTCCATGAGATGGAAGAAAAGTTTCATATACCACTTGTAACTCTTACAAACACAATCAACAAAGCCAATCTGCATATCACGTTTGTCAACCAAGTGCATGTTTTGTGTATAATCAATCACTGTCACTGGTTTTCAAATATGTTCATTAGTCATTCTATCAACTTTGCCACTGTCTTGCATTTCATTACGATGAATGGTTGTCAACAGTGTGACATCTCGTTTGTCATGCCACCGTAATGCCATGATGTCATTGGCAGTAAACACCTGCACCTCATCACCACGAGTGCCTGCATTGAACCTGGGCATATGTTTACGATTAGAATGCACTGTGCCACACACATCTGTCTTGTTCACTCGCAAGAAATCACTGAGTAAAGGGCTTTTGTACCAGTTATCGGTATATAATGTATGCCCCTTACCAAGATAAGGTGCCATCATCCTTCTCACTACATCACCTGAGATACCCAATAACATCCTGGTATCTTTCATTGTTTTACTTCCCGTGTATACAACAATATCCAATACCAGGCCACTGTCACAGTCACAGAGTACAAACAGTTTTATACCAAAGCGTTTCCTCTTGCTCGGTATATACTGTTTGAATGACAATCTACCTTTGAACAAAATCAAAGACTCGTCAAATACAAGATTCTTGAATGAATAAAAGTACATGTTGAAATTTTGTTTGAGATACATAAAAACATTTCTAATCTTGTATAACCTATCACTTCTATCAGGCCTGGTTTTGTCAGAGAAGTGCAACATACGTAACAGTAAGATAAACCTGTTCACTGGAATGATTTCACTGAAGACTGGGTTACAAATTAGCCGATCTGTGGACCAGTATGATTTTATATTATGTTTATAGACATGAGGCATAAGCATTATTGTTGCAAAAAGCAAATACATGTACATTTCTGCAACAGTTGTCTCTTTCCACCGGTGTAGTCTTGACTGTGGTGATATCATCGTATTTGCCATGGTGTACTCAAAATACTTGTTACTTTCCCTGACAATAGTTTCCATCAAGGGCTGGTCAAAGAATAGTTCAAAAAATTCCAGTTCATTGGCAGTAGTTCCAAGGGGACAAGTTGGTTGAATTCCACTTTGAGAGTCATCAAACTGATGGAGCTGGGCAACAAAATTGGGATTTTGCTGCCAATCCCAGATACGGTTTGCTGGTGGATACTGGACATCATAGGCTGGCTGTGCTGGTAGTTGTGGTGGGCTGGTGGCTGACGCTCCGCTTTGTCCTTGAACTGAGGAGTCAGCAGCATGGGTCCCAGCCTGGCTGGCGAGTCATGCATGGCTGTGACACTACCATCACCACTACCACCACCTACTGATGCCTGTGGTCTATCCATGCCAAGTGTAGCCACATCATCCTCACTTTCACTGTCTATTGCTGGTGTAGGGCCACGGGATGTACTCCGGGATGTACTCTGTCCCCTGGGCACTGCATAGGGAACACTACCCGAGTGCATGCGGTGGCGTATATGCCGATGCTTCACTGGTGAATATGTTTCCTCACTATCACTACTCGAATGGTTGTCAAGAGCAATAAAATCACAATCCACGTCACTATCATCATCATTACTGAAGTCAGAGGCCTGGCCACATGAAAATAATAGTTTTCTCTTGCGATGAGGTACAACTGACCGTGACTGAGGAGTGCCCACACCAGAGATAGAAGGTTGAGGATCGTCAGGGTTTTCTGCACTATTATCGATATCCTGGTCATTCCTTTCGGTCACTAACTGATCAAAGCCAAAGAATTCGTCTTCATTTCCACTTCCATCAGATTCAGAACTATCAGATAGGAAGAGGAGAGTCCCAATTTTCCTTAGAGTGAGAGCTACCTTGTGACGAGGCATGGTGGACAAAGGTAACTGAGCCGGCATTCCCACAATGCTATGCGGGTGCCTAGAATTTTTGTATATGGCGCATACACACCATGCAGACATGTTCTCTCACATGTAGGCCTACCAGCCTTTTCGCGCTAAATTTGATTCTGCTATAATTTTGGCGTAGATCTACAGTTTGCACCCTGAACGTAAAACTGTAGATCTATGGCACGGACCCTGAAACGGCTAAACCTCGGTGTGCACCATATTAAAAAAATCTGGAACCCCTTAGTACCTTGTGGGGGTGCCAGTTAAATTGAGTGCGAACTCGAGCAAACAGTGTGGCAAACACCAAGGATTCACTGATGTAATGTCATATTAACACTCCCCATTTGAGAGGAAAGTGATGTTAACCCCAAGTTTAGGGTCTCTCTATCTCTATCTATCTATCTCTGTCTATCTCTGTTTATCTCTGTCTCTGTCTATCTGTCTCTATCTCTTTTTATCTGTCTCACAGGTACACACAAATACAATTATACTTCTTCCTTCTTCCTCCTTCTTCCTCCTTCTTCCTCCTCCTCCTTCCTTCTCCTCCTTCCTTCTTCTTCTTCTATACTCCCATGTATCCAAAACATTGCTGGGACCTATAAACACTTGTATATATTCCTAGACAATAGTAAATGACCAAGACAGGTGTAAATGCCCACCTGTCAATGTGTTTGTGACAATTTGAGTACAATTTCAGTACCTAATATTAGTGTCAGATCTTGGTTATGAAATGCCAAGAACTACAATTAGCTGTCATTATCAGAACATAAAAATTATATAAAATAATATAGAAATGAGAAAAAATGGTATATCGGCAACACTTTCTCAAGCGGCAGGACTTGATGTTGCTGTCAGGTGAGCATTAAGTGCCAACTTTGCAGCCTCATATCTCAGTAAGTAATGACCCTATTTTTTTTTCTTTTAATCCTATAATACTTAGAAAAATTTTCTCTTTATTCCAATGAAAAAAAAAAAATTATTTTTCAGAATATTTGGGGTACAGGGGGAGAGAACGTATATATATGTTTGGACCATTTAGGGGTTAATCCCCTGAATTACTCCCTCCATGTGGGTTATTATAGAGCATTCACATTTTAGTTATGCATATAATATAGTGTTTAGTAGTCATATTGTATGCATAATATAATGTTTAGCATGTAATGTATAACGGGTTTGTTCTGGTAGTATGCAGTGGGTGGTTAATGATAAATCTTCTTCTTCGGAGGCTTCTTCGTTTATTGAAAGGTCGTGGTGGGTACACAGGCTTGTGTGTTTGTGCCCATGGCCCGGGCAGGGCCATCCCATGAGAGAGAGCTGGGAGGCCTTGTGTCTTGCTGCTAGGCCGCTGTGTGAGTGAGGGTGAGGCAAGTCTGGGCATACTGAAGTGGCAAGGCCTATAGGTGGCAGCACCAGCATGGCGCGAAATATGAACTAAGCTGGCAGACAGCATGGGCTGTCTGCGCAGACAGTACAGGCTGTCTACATACACTCGGCCACCTACCGCGCATCGTCCCGACGCGACAATACTGGTAGTAAAAGAAACTCGGTCTCTCTCTCGTAGGAACAGGGCACGGAACACAAAATAAAAACATATATATACATATGGACATGGAAAAAAAAACTTCCTACAGGGAGGGAAGAAAAAAACATGTGGGGTGTGCTAAACATCGTGGTCATAGGCAGTGAGCGTCGAAGGGCATCACTGCACGCCTTCCTGCGTCTGGACAGATACTGCAACATGGGAGACATCGCTGCGGCTGAGCTCTGATGTAACAGGGTACGGTCTCCTCTGGAATGGTGAAGCAGTCATCGGAGGAGTCGCTGCAGGTTTTCACTCAACCTGGGGTACGACATGCTGGTGCCCTCGAGTGAGGCGTTGACAAAACTCAGCAACTGGGCAGGACTTCTGGCACGCGACTCAGGAGGACACTTCTCGACTGGTACTGTCGCTGGGCTGTCACTGCCGGCGAGCGTGGAGCGAGTCGTGGCAGAGACGACTGGGCGAAACATCTGGGAGTCGTAACATCATACACCAGACTGCAGTGAGAGAGCTAGCAGTCAAAGTGGCATCTTTGTGCAGGCTGCTCACTGAAGCTTGTGACACGAGGCTGACACAGCGCCTGCCGACAGGGCTAACTGCGGCTTGGCAAGTGTCATTCGGCAGTTGGAGTTATAGCAGAGATTAGTCTAAGCGTCCCCAGACTTGTTTCTCTACATATAACTGCACTCTGATGGTCTGGAGGTGAAGTGAAACAAATCTCGATGGGAATCGTAGCAGGTACGATTCTGCAGAACATCACGAGCGACGAGCATAAAAGCTTTCTGTACAAGAGGGCTCATATGCTCAGGGCTGAGTAATCAGCTGTCAAACACACTGGTCACACGGGTGACTTAACACAGTGGTGCTACTCAGGTCTGGCTCAGACCTCATTGGACACACGGAAACTTTACACACACTGCGGTACAACATGGCTTAAACTAGCAAATGATGCTTTTCTGTGCATAAAACTGACACTAAGACATATACTAAAATGTGAGAACACTGACTGAGAGGAATTAATTAACACGACATATATCTTCTCTCGATCTTCTCGACAATACTGAAATAATTACTGAACACTCGATGGTGACATCATGTGATGTCAGGCGTGATGTCGCGAGGTGACGTCAGCAGGACTGTGACGTCAGCAGACATCTCGAGGTGACGTCAGGCAGACATTGTGACGTCATGAAGTCGGGCAGCATCGTGGGTGACGTCGATGTGATGCGGGCAGCAGACCACAGCATGTGGCCTGGGACATCTGGTAACTCACGTAGCTCGTAGGTCTATGTGACATCGCCCACACCCACATGGCATCGTGATCTACGTGGCATCGTGATCTACGTGGCATCGCCCACACCCACGTGGCATTGCCCACACCCACGTGGCATCGCCCACACCCACGTGGCATCGCCCACACCCATGTGGCATCGGGATCCACGTGGCGTCGTGATCTACATGGCATTGCCCACACCCACGTGGTGTCGGGATCCACATGTCATCGTGATCTACGTGGCATGCTGATCCACATAGCTTCGAGTGGCCTCGGGCACTCGGATACACAGCTCTGGCAATGAATTCACATGGAAAACAGCAGAAAACACAGCAGAGGGAGTGGGCAGTGGTGAGTGTATGGTAGTGTGGTGGTGAGGAGCGTGGTTGAGTGTATGGCGAGGGAACATCTGGCGGTCCCTCCCCCTCCCACCCACAAACACAGGGAAACACACTGGACGCAGAAATCACCACAAGACTCACCTCTGGCTCGCTGAAACAGCTGTGCTCAGCTGAACAACAACAGCAACATACAAGTGACGCTGAACACGTGACTTGAGAAACAGCATGGGACGCTGTAGCGTGGGGTCACTTACAATTCTCGGAGAATTTCGTCAAATTTCGGCTGGATCCTGCTTGTACCTGTGTCTGGATGCTCAAACGTGCAGACACGACATCAGGATAACTCGTTGAGAGACGGATGCTTCTTGTGTAGGGTGATGAAGTGAAGATGACTTCATACCTCTTCCTTCCTCACTTTGGGCAAACACACTGCTGCGACCACAGCTGCTACCATTTATAATGAGTTTGTTTGGTAGGTGCTGAAAGTGGGGTGTGAAAGATAAACTTCTTCGGAGGCTTCTTTGTTTATTGTTAAGTCGTAGCGGATACACAGGCTTGTGTTGTTGTGCCCATGGCCCGGGCAGGGCCATGCCCACGAGAGAGAGCTAGGAGTAGCCTTGTGTCTTGCTGCTAGGCCGCTGTGTGAGTGAGGGAGAGGCAAGTCTGGGCATACTGAAGTGGCAAGGCCTATAGGTGGCAGCACCAGCATGGCGCGAAATATGAACTAAGCTGGCAGACAGCATGGGCTGTCTGTGCAGACAGTGCAGGCTGTCTACAAATGTCTGTTCCAAAGTTGCTCAATTTTTAACTAGGGAAAAATTCCCTTCTGGTTTCTAACTTCTATTTTTTCTGTCAGCACTAATTATAAAGCTCTAGTTTCTCTCTAGTGACCAGTGCTTTAGTATACAGTATATAATGAAATTGACAGTGCTTCATGGAACAGTATAAGGAAATTGATTCATAAAATATTCAGTGAGAATAAATTTTAAATTATTTAAATATATGTATCAACTGCCCTGGGCAGCTGGAGTGTCTCTTGTGCTCAGTGGTTAGATCTACAATAATGTCTTAGACCCACAAAAAAGCCTCAAATCAGACAAAATGGAAATGACTTAAATCAGTTTACATGGTTCACCTTAATTAAATTACTGTGTAAAATAAAAAATGTTCATAGATCTATCCAGTTATGATGAGACTGCTTATGGCCTATGCAGACTTTAATTAATCTGGCCTTGCTCTTGGGTGTAGGGCACCTCTTATCTCGTCTGTCCTTGTATTTTGTGTAAATAAAGAGCAATGCTCTGCTGCTTGTTAAGTCCTGTCCACAGACCAACACCTGTCAGCTGCAGTCACATAACTGTGCTTGATCGTGTCCACAGACCAACACCTGTCAGCTGCAGTCACATAACTGTGCTTGATCGTGTCCACAGACCAACACCTGTCAGCTACAGTCACATGTAACTGTGCTTGATCCTGTCCACAGACAGACAGACAGACCGCCGCTGCCGCCGCCTCCTCCTCCGCCTCTGCCTCCGCCGCCGCCGCCTCCTCCGCCTCCTCCTCCTCCTCCTCCTCCTCCTCCTCCTCCTCCTCCTCCTCGGTCACACTACTCCTGCTGTCATTGCAACAGACAAAGAACCCAAATAATGTGGTGAAAATTTTCAGGCTCCATTAATATTTTAAAATGAACTGAACACATAATTTAATGTTTCATTTTTTTCCTCAGGTGATTTCTATGCTGAGAATGGCAGACTGATAGACGAGCACCTGGTAACAGAAGTGCTGGAAGAGATGGAGGCGGCAGATGACACCTGCAAGACTTACAACCATAACAGGCAGTTGAAGGAGCTGGCACACCTCTCAGTGGGCGAGGTCTTCCATACAAAGTTCTTCAAGTATCTGGCGTCTTGCAAAAATGATGGAGCATTAAGTTGGAAACTGAAGATGGCTGTGTATTATTGGTGCTTAAGGTCAGTAACTAGAAACAGGATCTGTAACTATAAGCAGTATTTGAAGAATTTATTATTGAGTCCTAACCCTTTCAGGGTCCAGAGGCCAAATTTCAAAGTGTGCACCAGTGTCCAAGAATTTTCAGAAAATAATTTTGTTATTTTTTCTTATGAAATAGTAGAGAATCATTTACTGAAGGTAATAAAACAAAAAGTACGAAATTTGATGGGAAATTGATGAAATTGATGTGTCAGCGATATTTAAGCATCGTCGATTTTGCCGACTTTGACTCTCATTTTAGGCCAATTACATTATTCCAGTTGACCAAATTCTTAGCTATTTCACTAGTATTACTTCTATTCTATCGTATGAGCACAAGAAATCGCCAAGTCAATGTTTCAACCACAAAACAAAGTGATCGGAAATTGGTAATTTGGTCAATTTAATGCAAAGTTCAAAATACTCCAATTTCAAAATAGGGTCCAGAATAAACAATGCAGGCATTCCTGGCACTAAATTTACATTTCCTCTGTTCATTAGTTATGTCTTCAGGCTTTACTGATGAATTCCATTATGATTTTTTATTCACATAATGAATTTTTATTCAAACCAAAAAATAGAAGATTTACTGTTACGCAATATTGTAATAATTGTATAAATAATATCAGCACATTAGACCCACCAGCAGGCATGTATTAGACTTGTGAGGTCATTTGTTTACTCTTGAACATCGGCAAAAATTTAACATTTCCGCTACTTTGAGCTCAGTTTCAAGCCATTTCCTGTACTAAAACCAATCAAAGTCATCTCTATTTCTGTAATATATCTTGCATTCTATCAAATGAGACCAAGAAATCGCAAATACAACTATAAAAAACAAACGAAAAAACACTGCAAAATCATTGTTTTAATCGAAAATTACGGTCTCAGTTTTCTTTCTCTCATTATGCACCATGTGCTGCTAGATTTGTTTTATGTGGTGCACGCATACCACGTAGATGTATTCTCTCATATCTAGGCCCAATTTTACCGCTCACAGCTTATCAGAGTGAGCCGAGCTCATGACGTAGATCTACTGCTTGGACCCTCAACGTAAAGCTGTAGATCTACGGCACGGAACCTGAAAGGGTTAAAGGTTCAAACATCTTGTTTGTTACATATTCTTTAGTAATTCAGTGAGTTAAATACTGTATATTTTTTTATGATTTTAACACCAATATTACTGTATTTCAGTCATATTATTTGCTGTATTTACTGTTTGTTGTTGTTTTTTCATATTGGCTTTGTTGTACAGGCAGACCTCACATAACACAAGGGTAGGTTCTAAAATTGGCATTATATGTAATTTTGTGCTACTTTGTTTAACCCCTTGATTGTCGCAACCCCAAATCCTGAGGTGTCTCCTGGTGTCACAAATTTTCCTATAAAAAAAAAAAAAAAAAATTTATTTTTTCTTATGAAATGGTAGAGAATTTTTTCCCGATTGTAATGACACCAAAAGAATGAAATTTGATGGAAAACTGATGGAATTACACTCTCGCGAAGTTAGCGACCTCGGCGATATTTACAAATCGGCGATTTCACCCACTTTGAGCCCTATTTTTGGCTAATTCCATTGTTCCAGTCGACCAAACTCATAGCTATTTCTTTAGAACTGCATTTTTTCTATCGATTGAGTACAAGAAACTGCCCATTTATTGATTTCAACTACCTAATAACATGGTCAGAAACTTGCAATTTGGCCAGTTTCACGAAAATTAAAATTATGACAATTTCAAAATAGGGTTTACAGTGAACAATGCAGACATTCCTGGCTCTAAAATAACATTTTCTTTGTTCTTCAGTCATGTCTCCAGGCCCCTCTGATATTACTCATGCTTTCTATTTTGAATTTTTATTCAAACAAAAAATAGAAGATTTACTATTATGCAGACTACTGCAATATTGTAATAATTGTATAAATAATGTCAACCCATTCACGACTGCATATTAGAATGGGTACTTGGACATTTATTGGAAAATGACATAATTTGTTTACTTTTGAACATCAGCAAAAATCAAACATTTCCCCTACTTTGAACTCCATTTCAAGGTTTTTTTTATAGTAAAACTAATCAAAATCACCTCTATTTCTATAATATGTTTTCCATTCTATCAAATGAGATAAAAAAAATGAGAATACAACCATAAATACTATACGAAAATAGACCACAAAGTTGGCATTTTAATTAAAAAAAACTGTCGGTATTTTTTTTCTCATTATGCACTGCGTGCTGCAGGATTTTTTTTTATATGGTGTACACTGACCACACAGACCCATTCTCTCACATGTGGGCCTACATCATATGGTGGCTCGTAAGACGTATATATACGACCAAAACAGTCAAAGGGTTAATATGAATAGCACCTGGGAAAAATTGGGTTAGGTACATGACCAGGGACGGGGTCAGAATTTCTGTACTTTGGGGGCTTAGGGATGGCTGTCTGGTTGTATTGGGGAAGGGGGGGGGGCTAGGAGACTTATTTTGAAGCTGCATTATTACAATATTTAGGGGGGCTGAGGGAAATTTGGAAATTTTGAAGCTCTCCAAATTCCTCCATACCCTCCCAGTGCAGCCACTCTTCATGACAGTTCCAGTAAAAAAAAAGCTGAATAAATTTGTTATATTATTCATTTTGTTGAAAACTGTAAAGCTTTTGGCACCTTACATTGTAGATGTTGTGTAGATGTATGTTAACCCTTAAACTGTCCTAACGTAGATCTTTGGTCACGTGCGTAGCACTCTGACCTTGATTTTCCCCCATTTGAAAGCATGTAAAAAAACGAAGATCTATGTTCGGAGCACCCCGAACGTGGATGTAAATCTACGTTTGGACAGTTTAAGGGTTAAGTATCCAAGTCTGTAATAATAACTTACTTCCTAAATAAACTTAATTAATGAGTCCAGTGATTTATTGAATAAACTTGAATAACCCTTTCACTGTCGGTCCCATAATATTATGGCTTGCAAGACAGTGTCAGTCTGGTAATACTATGCCAAAATTCTAGCTGTTTCCAACCTTGCGGGAGATAGCTGGTAGGCCTGCATATGAGAGAATGTGTCTAAATGGTCAGTGTGTGCAGTATAAAAAAAATCCTGCAGAACACAGTGCATAATGAGGAAAAAAACTGACTGTGTTTTTGGTTTAAAACAGCGACTTTACTGTGTATTTTCGTGTAGTATTTATGGTTATATTCTCGTTTTCTTGGTCTCATTTGATAGAATGGAGGACATATTACCAAAATAGAGATTATTTTGAATGGTTTACCGAATAAAAGTACCTTGAATTTGAGCTCAAATTAGAGGAAATGCTCAATTTTTGCTGGTGTTCTAGGGTAAACAAATGTCATTCATCCAATACACATCAACTGGTGGGTCTAATATGCTTTCACAAATGTGCTGATATTATTTATACCATTTTTACAATAATGCAGTAGTCTACATAACAGTAAATCTTTTATCTTTTGTGTGAATAAAAATTCAAAATGGAAAGCAAACATAATAAGGGAGAGGGCTGGAGGCATAACTAATGAACAGAGAAAATGTTATTTTAGTGCTAGGAATGTTTGCATTGTTAATTTGGGACCCTATTTTGAAATTGGACAAATTACCAATTTCTGATCACTTTATTGGGTAGTTGAGATCAGTAAATGGGCATTTTTTGTACACAATCGATAGAACAAAAGGTGTTCTAGTGAAATACGTAACTCTGAGTTTGGTCGACTGGAACAATGGAATTGGCCGAAAATAGGGCTGACGTGTGAATATCGCCAAGACCACTATCTTTGTGAGAGCATAATTCCATAAGTTCTCCATCAAATTTCATACTTTTGGTGTCATTACCATCGGGAAAAGGTTATCATTTCACAACAATTTTTTTGTTTTAAATTCTTCAACACTGATAGCAAGTTTGTGAGCAGGGGTCTTGACAGTGAAAGGGTTAAAACCCTTTCACTGTCAAGACCCTTTGCAAAGTTAACTGTCTTGGCAATTTCACCCACTTTGAGCCCTATTTTTGGCCAATTCCATTGTTTCAGTCGACCAAACTCATATCTATTTCAGTAGAACTTTTGTTTTATCGATTGAGTACAAGAAACAGCCCATTTACCAATTTCAATTACCCAATAAAGTTATCAGAAATTGGTAATTTGGCCAATTTCATACTCAGTTTAAGTAAGGTAAATTTCAAAATAGGGTCCAGAATTAACAATGCAAACATTCTTATCACTAAAATAACATTTTCTCTGTTCGTGAGTCACATCTTCAGGCCCCTCTTATATTACGCTTGCTTTCCATTTTAAATTATTATTCACACAAAAAAAAGATTTACTGTTATGCAGACTACTACATTATTGTAAAAATGGAACAAATAATATCAGCGCATTTGTGAAAGCATATTAGACCCACCAGTTGACGTGTATTGGATGCGTGGCATCATTTGTTTACTCTCGAGCATCAGCAAAAATCAAACATTTCCACTATTTTGAGCTCAATTTCAAGGTACTTGTAGTCTGTAAACTATTGAAAATCATCTCGTTTTCTGTACTATGTCTTCCATTCTATCAAATGAGACTTAAGAAAATGAGAATACAACCATAAATAACATTTGTAAATACACCACAAAGTTACTGTTCTTAACCAAAAACATGGTCTGAGTTTTTTTCTCATGCACTGAGTGCTGCGGAATTTTCTTTGTACTTCGCACACTGACCACTCAGACCCATTCTCTCCCAGCTTTCTCCCACAAGATTGGAAGCTGCTAGAATTTTGGCATAGTGTTATGGGACTTACACTGGCTTGCAAGCTGTAATATTACAGGACCAACAGTGAAAGGGTTAGTAAGTCCAGTAACCTCCTAAGTAAATTTATTAATTTTATATAGCGAGTGTCTGGAATTATTAAATCCAGTGGTAAGCTTGTGTTCAATACCAGTGTTTGATGCAGCTTAGCATTTATTCCTTCCAAGAAAAATGGGCATA